AAGTCCGCCCTCGCTATCAAATCCCCCACCTGCAAAAAGCAAAGCTCTGAAATCTCTTCCTAGATTCAGTTTGATCTACTTCAAGTCCTTTCAAATTTGTTTTTTAAACTATCGAATCATTCTGTGCCGTATCTTTTGTAAACCCCTGATGTTTATAACTCTGAAGACTGCAGCTGTGGTTGAAATAACCATCAAATGTTCATCTTTTCAACACCCACTTTCTTTTCTCATCATCCCATTTTGGTGCCAGAGGACACAGGTTGGACACCACTAGTGTGGTTGCTTCAGGGAGATTTAAGTGACTTGCCCAAGGTCCCTCTAAACTGATAGTAGTTTTGGAGTAAAGTGGCAATCCTGGTTGCCCGTGTCTTGGGGTTCTTGGATAGGATGGCCTGGAGAACTCCAATAGCCTTGGAGTCTGGGCCGCCACCTCCCACACTGATGAATCGCCTGGCTTAGTGCTGCATACACCTCTGTTGAGAAAGAGACTCTTGGACCAGAGAGAGTAGAGCAAGCAGCTGAATCTGTTTTGATCTCTGGCACCACATTGGTATGGTTCCAAGTCCTGTAAAGAGTGATCCATGAGCACAGAGCAGGGATAGAGGGAGCCAGGAAGGATGAAGTGAAAGAAGGAGGGAGGGAGAGAGGGAGGGAGGGAGAGAGGAACACTTTGTTGAAAAGTGTTGGCTTACAAATTTCCATTCTGAAAAGATCAGTTGCATTAAGAGTGAGCTGACCCAAGTTTCATAGTGCTGGTTCCCCAAAGGATAATGTTGAACCCTTCTGGGCCCCAAGTTTAAGGTCCCCACTAAATTTTCTCTTGACTTTGAAAGGTCCAAGATGTATTTATTTGTTTATTTTAGTCAGCTGATGGTGGTTGCTGTGGCTGTGGAATGCTTTGTCTTGCTAAAGGAAATGGTCCGATTGATTACCTGTGAGCAGAATTAGGGCTGCTTTTGGGGGGAGAAAAAAAAAAGCATGCTTGCTGTTCTAAGGCACTGTGTTCTTTGATGGTATCAGGACTCTCAGGGTAACATTTGGTGTGACAGACTCCATGCCCAGACTCACACAGTTGCTCCCTTCCCATCCGGCCTGTCCCCACAGAGCTTAAAAGACACTAGCTGGGTTTTCATTTAAGTCAAGTGCAGGACCCTGCAGGCAGATTTTCCTCCGGGCATCTGGTGCTTTGGGGGATTCAAGGTGATGAATAAGAAATCCTTTCTCTTGCCACTTGTTCCAAGTTGGGGGATGCCACAGGGCAGTCATAGTGCCACTGTATTAATGCAGCCAATAATAAGAGCTGGAGTTAGACTTAGTAGTTCCCATTGTGAAAGAGTCCTGATGCACATAACAATAATTCAGGATAGAAAGACAATCCGTTCTTTCTCTTGGGGCCACTTTCAGCTACTGCTACTTCCACTGAGCCAGGTTGCCTGACAGTAATAAGTTCAAGCCACTGAACTTCAGTGGCTTGTGGGTTACCTAATGTTTCTTCTCCTGAGATGTTCTAAATTAATTAAAGAATCCTATCCAGGGGCTTCAGTTTAGCTCCCAGTTTATGTCTGCTTTTTGGAGGATCTGTTTGTGCTGGTGCCATCCTTTTTGTGTCCTCCACACCCTCACACAATTGCCACAAGTCCCAGACTGCATAAGAAACAGGTGGTACCATTCTCTCTCCTCCATATCCCCAACTCTTGCTGTGGACACTTGGTAGCGATTTATGAAAATGTCTTGATATTTGTTTGTTTGTTTGGGGCCACACCTGGCTATGCTCAGGGCTTTCTCCTGACTCTGAATTTAGGGATCACTTCTGGTGGACTCAAGGGACCATATGGGGTTCCGGGGACTGAACTCAGATTGGCCGTGTACAAGGCAAGTGCCCCGTCTTCTGTACTATCTCTCTGGCCTCTATGGAAGGTTCTTGAAACCCAAGTGAGAGATCCCCCAAAAGAAGCTTCCCAGGGCCTGCATACCCCAAGCAGGATGGAGGGCCCCAGGCTCCTTCTGACTTCCTGTTCCAACACAGTGGTCAAAGAGTGATTCCCTCCATGTGCAGCCCTTTTCACGCAGAAGGAAGAGGATAGAGTTAATGTGCAAAAGATGAGGGACCTGAGAGATAGGACAGAGGTTAAGGCACTTCCCTTGTTCATGGCTGGAACTGTATATGGCCCCCAAAGCACCACCAGGAATGACCCCTGAGCATCACTGGACATGGCCTCCCAAAATATAAGTAAGATATAGTAAACATATACTTACCTTTTAAGTATATGTTTACTATATAGTATATAGTTTGCTATATAGTATATGTTTACTATATAGTGTGTGGGCTGGAGCAGTAGCACAGTGGGTAGGGCGCTTGCCTTGCACGCGGCCAATCCAGTCGGCCCAGGTTCAATTCCTCCGCCCCTCTTGGAGAGCCCAGCAAGCTACCGAGGGTATCTTGCCTGCATGGCAAAGCCTGGCAAGCTCCTCGTGGTGTATTTGATATGCCAAACACAGTAACAACAAGTCTCATGATGGAGACGATACTGGGCCCGCTTGAAGAAATTGATGAACAACGGGCGGACAGTGCTACAGTGCTACATAGCTTACCATGAAAACATTACATATTGACTGGGAGGCTGCACCTGGCATTTGTCAGGGGTCACTCCTAGCAGTGTTCAGGGATCATGTGGTTTGGGGATCAAACACAGAGCTCCTGGATACAAAGCATGTTTCCGGGCCCTCTTAAAGGTCTCCCTGGCCCAAAGAAAGTCGGGATTTATTGCTTCAAGTCAGCTAGCCTCAGCACTGTCCTGTCACTGTCCTCCCGTTGTTCATCGATTTGCTCGAGCGGGCCCAGTAATGTCTCCATCATGAGACTTGTTGTTACTGTGTTTGGCATATCAAATATGTCACGGGCAGCTTGCCAGGCTTTGCCGTGCGGGCGAGATACTCTCGGTAGCTTGCTGGGCTCTCCGAGAAGGGCGGAGGAATCGAACTCGGGTCGGCTGTTGGCTGTGTGCAAGGCAAACGCCCTACCGCTGTGGTATCGCTCCAGCCCACTCACAGCAGTTTGCATTACATGCAGCCTAAGCAATCTCAGTGTTTCTTCTTAACCCTCCTGTGATATTACCTCTGTTCCTCTCTGAAGCATAGCTTTTGGCTGGAGATAGAGCTCAGGGGCAAAGCACTACCTGTTGGAGGACCATGATTCAGTCCCCAGCACCCAAAAAATCAATTCTGATGTTTAAAAGTGTTCATCTGTAAGAGGCGAGAAGTCAGCTGGCCATTGAGGAATCAGTATGGCAGGTAAAGTAACCAGCTTCTAGGGGGACACCCACTGAGGGAGACGTTTTCGGTGGGTTAGAACCTGCTGCTGCATCTGTGTGGCTGAGCCCACTGTATATGCCTCACAGGGAACCCCTGGAGCCCCAGGCCAAAGACAGCAGGTATCTGAGTGCCCAAGGGCCCACAAGGGCACTAGAGGTGTGCCCTAGGACGGCCCTAACTTTCTCCAACAGGCTTGCCAGACTGGCTCTGTCGAGGGCATGGAAGGAAGGTGAGGGCCGAGTTGTTCAAGTAGTCTGTGAGGGTGGTCTTTAATCAACTCTCTCCACCTGCCAAATTATAGAGCCTTGGTGCAGGGGGCCTGACACACTAGTGGCACTGTGTAGCAGCACTGCAAGTATGAAACAGTCATCAAATGTGATCCAAAATAAATGTGTGAAAAAGAAAAGAAAGCCAGAGAGAGATAGTTCAGGGGTTAAGGTGCTGGCTTTGCTACAGCCCAGGCAGGTTCAACCCTGGCACCACATGGAAGGAAGGAGGGAAGGAGGAAAGGAAGAAAGGAAGGGAGAGAGGGAAGGAGGAAAAGAAGGGAGGAAGGGAGGGAGGGATATTAAAGTCGGAGAGATGTTACCTTTTTTTTCCTTTTTGAGTCACATCCGGTGATGCACAGGGATTACTCCTGGCTCTGCACTCAGGAATTACTCCTGGCGGTGCTCGGGGGACCATATGGGATGCTGGGAATTGAACCTGGGTTGACTATGTGCAAAGCAAATGCCCTACTCACTGTACTATTGCTCCAGCCCCCTGGAAAGACATTTGAATATTATCTTTTTTTCTCAATTTCTTTTTATTATTTATTTATTATTGAATCACCATGAGATACAGAGTTACAAAGCTGTTCATGGTCAAGTTTCAGTCATACAGTGAAATTCGCTTATCAGTGGATGGACAAGGAGAGTATCATGCTGAGTGACACGAATCAGAAGGAGGAGGACAAACATAGAATGGTTGTAGACGTTTGTGGGATTAAAAAAACAAAACATAGGGCTGGAGAGATAGAACAGTGGGTAGGGCATTTGCCTTGCATGCGACCCGACCCATGTGGGTGGGTTCAAGATTCTCAGCATCCCATATGGTCCCCCCCCCCCCCCCCCCCAGCACCACCAGGACTAATTCCTGAGTGCAGAAGCCAGGAGTAACCCCTGTGCATCACTGGGTGTGACCCAAAAAGCAAGAAAAAAACAAACAAATAAACATAATATGAGACTAATACCCAAGGACAGTAGAAACAAAGACCAAGGAGGATTGGTCCACAGTTGGAAACCTGTCTCAAGGGCAGTTCGGATAGAGAAGGGACCACCATGACAAAGTTGGAAATGATCACTCTGGATAAGAACTGCGTGCTGAAAATAAGTAGAATATTCTCTCAGTGCCGGCAGCCACCGCTGAGCACCTCAGGGGTCACCCCTGAGCACAGAACCAGGAGCAATACTGCCAGGTATGGACCTAAACCCAAAACAGAACAACAAAAAAGGGGAATCCATTGCACATCCCTGACGCAGGGGGCACCCCCCCCCAGAAAGGGTTTGCTGGCCTCACCTCTGCTGTTTGCATTCCCCAACACTGAGCCAGCTGAGGGGCCTTGCGTGCCCAGGAGGCCCCCAGGGACCCTCAGTGACCGTCGGTGGCAGCACGGACTCTGACCCTGCCTGTCCCCCTTTTCCCTGCAGGAATCGGAAGGCGTCTGCTGCCACTACTGGTCGCTGTTCGACGGGCACGCGGGCTCGGGGGCCGCCGTGGTGGCCGCCCGCCTGCTGCAGCACCATGTGGCCGAGCAACTGCAGGACATCGTGGAGATCCTTAAGAACTCAGCCCTGCTGCCGCCCACCTGCCTGGGCGACGAGCCCGAGCACACGCCCGCGCACAGCCGCACCCTGACGCGCGCCGCCTCGCTGCGCGGCGGGGTGGGCGCCCCCGGCTCCCCCAGCACCCCGCCCACGCGCTTCTTCACGGAGAAGAAGATCCCGCACGAGTGCCTGGTCATCGGGGCGCTGGAAAGTGCCTTCCGGGAAATGGTAGGTGCTGCGCGGGCCGAGGGGAGGGGGCGGGCGGCGGGGATGCATCCCCCCTCCCCCTCGTGGCTCCGTGTCCAGCAGCTCCCGTGGCCGCCGCAGCCAGGGCCTGCCTGGCGCCTGCTCCAACCTGCTTATTCGCTGTGCGCCTGGCAACCTGCGCCTCCAAGCGTCGCCCTCCGGCCAGCCCGAGCAGGTCCATCGCAGGGAGGGGTGAGCGTGGTGGCCACCTACCGCCCACCGCCGGGGGGCTTGGGGAAGCAACGTTTCAGGGGAAAGTGGCCCCCAGGTCCCCCACCTAGACAGGCCAGTGCTGCGAACTGCAGCTTTATCCTGATGGTCCACGTGGTTCACTGCTGAAACCCAGAGAGTGAAGTCGTGGCAGGACAAGCCAGGAATTGCTAAAACCCAGCATAGCGTCGGCGTCTGCAGGGATGGCTCGTTTGGCTGGAGCGTGATTTGCGTGCAGACGCCCTGTTCTGTTCTGGCAACCAGGGTCCCCTGAACGCCTGCCACCCCCGAGACACACGCACCCCAGCACCATGCCTGGAGTAGTCCTGAGCATGGATGGGCGTGTGGCCCCACTGAGCTAAACCAAAGTACAGTCTCACTTGGGAACTCATTTAATCTTTGTTTTTTGTTTGTTTGTTTTTCTTTGTTTTTGTTTTTGTTTGTTTTTCTTTGTATTTTTGTTTTTCTGGGCCTCACCTGGCAGTACCTGAGGGATCACTCCTGCTGGGGCTCCAGGGACCTTATGCAGTGCCCTACCCACTGTACTATCTTTCCAGAAGGCCCTTGTGCATACTTTTTTTGGCTTATTTATTTTTAATTTTTATTCAATCGCTGTGAATTACAGAGTCATTCATGATTAAGTTTCAGGCAGACAGTCCCCTCACCAGTGTCCGCAGTTTCCCCCCTCGCCTGTCTCTATGGCAGGCACTATTTTTCTTTCTTTGAAATTTAAGAATATTTTTTAATTTAAAAGGCCTAATAATATTGGGTCTGGAGCTATAGTTCAGCAGGTAGGGTATTCGTCTTGCACGCAGTTGACCCCGGTTCAATCCCCAACATCCCATATGGTCCCCCGAGCACCGCCAGGAGTAAGTCCTGCGTGCAGAGCCAGGAGTAACCCCTGTATATCACCAAGTATCACACACACACACACACACACACACACACACACACACACACACGGCCTAATATTATGTTCCATTTTAATACAAACATATGCTTTCTTTTTTTTTTTACTTTGGATTTTATTGTTTTTAATTGAATCAACATGAGATACAGTTACAAAGCTTTCATGCATGATTGAGTTTCAGACATACAATGATCAAACACCCATCCCTTCACCACTGTACATTTTCCACCACCAATGTCCCCAGTATTCCTCCCACCACCCCTACCCACCCCACCCCACCCCACCCCACCCCACCCCACCCCACCCCAGCCTCTATGGCAGACACTTTCCTTCTTTCTCTCTACTTTCGGTCATTATGGTTTGCATTACAGATACTGAGAGGTCACCATGTTTGGTCCTTTCTCTACTTTGAGCACACATCTTCCATCCCGAGCATGCCTCCAACCATCTTTGACTTAATGGTCCCTTCTCCATCCCAACTAGGCAGGCACTACCCACCACCTCCCCCACATCCCCCCGCACCCATCAGCTCCCATTTCAAGGCACTGTGGTTTATAGTACTGTTGCGGATGGGGTATCATGCATGTCATATCACCTTCTTTTAGCACCTAGTCCTGGTCCAGTGTGACCACTTCTCTCTATCCTCGTGGTGGTCCCTTCAGGAACCATCCCGCCTCTCTTCCCACCGGGTTCGTACTTAGTCATTTGAACGTATTTTACCAAGAGATGCCCCTGCCCTGCCAGTTCACTCCCAAGAAGGTGGAAAGAGTACAGTGGCTCTCTGCGTCCCTCAAGATCCCCAGCCCTGGGAGAGTGCACACAAGCGCCGGGACTTGCGGTCTCTAATCACCCTTCCCTCTTCCAGGGAGAGGGATTTCTGGCACGTTATTCTGGTACCAGAAATGTTCTCTCCAAGGCAGGAGCCTGCGTGCCAGTAAAGAGGAAGAGATCATGAAGACGTTATGTGGGCTTGTGTAGGCGAGTGGGCTCTATTATGCCCTTGAATCCTGCAGATTCAGAGTGAAAATGAGCCAATATGCTAGCAAAAGGCAGTTGGAAGTGCGTACCCAGAACTGAGCGTGGACCCAGGCACAGGCCAGGATCCAGGATCTCCCTGTGTCATGTCCTTTACTCAGGAGAGGAAGAAACTGGCAGCGCAAAGCAGCAGTCTTGGATTTGTTTGGGAGGGTGAGGCCATTCAGTATTTTGAGCAGACATGAGCAGCCTCATGTCTACTTTCCACCCCTGAGCTAGTTCCTTCTTTAGTACTAGTGTTTCTGTCTTTGTGACATAGGTGATATTTAGCTCTTTGATTAGTGAAAGGTTTTAAATGTGCCCTTTCTCAGCAGGAACCAGGCATCTTCAGTCATACAGCGCCAAGAAAACCACCAAAAGTCAGAAAAGTTCATTTTTTTAAATAAATTTTTTAAATTTATTTTTTGAGCATTACAAAGCCATTCATGATTGGATTTCAATCATACACCATCCCAACACTCATTCCCAGCCCCAGTGTCCCCAGGTTCCCTCCCATCATCCCCCACCCTTCCTCTCTCTCCCTCCCCCCGTTTGGGCATTGTGGTTTGCAATATTGATACTGAAAGGTTATCAAGAATATCCCTTACCTACTCTCAACCCTCAGATCTTGTCCAGCGTGATCATTCCCAGCTATTATTGTCATGGCACTCTCCTCTGTCCAACGTACCCTCAGCCCCACACACATTTGTAGTTAGTTTTAACCACTGATCAGACCTCCTAACCCCTGTTCACCCTGGTCATGGATATTCTTCTTTATATATATTCTAAAAGGTCATTTCTTAAAAGGAAAAGGGGAATCAAGATAGTAAAATAGACTGATCCTTATTCCAGATGCTATGAACTCTCTAGATGCCAGTGCTCAGAATACTATTTGAGTTTTTTTGTTTGTTTGTTTTTGTTTTTTGGGTCACACCTGGCTCTGCATTCAGGAATCACCCCTGGCGGTGCTCAGGGGATCATATGAGATGCTGGGAATTGAACCCGGGTTGGCCGCATGCAAGGCAAACGCCCTACCCGCTGTGCTATTGCTCCAGCCCTGAGATTTTTTTTTAAGAAATTATTTGTTTTGGGGGCCACATCTGGTTGTGCTCAGGCTTACTCCTGGCTCTTCTTGACCATATCGGATGCTGGGGACCAAATCTGGGTCAACCCCATGCAAGTACTACTCACTATACTATCTGTCCAGCCCCTGAGGTAAAAATTTTAACTCTCCTCCTCATGAGAGGAAAAAAATGCACTTACTGATAGAAGTAAAAACCAAAGAAACTTTGGAGTATTTCATTTCCTTCATGGCCAACACAAGGGATGTCTTTCTTGGGGGAACTGCTGTATTCTCACTGCTGGCCTCTAGAGGGCAGACCTCCACTGGTCTCAGAACTCCACACCAGAACTGACTTTGTACAGTAGGTGCGTTCCAGAATACTTAGTCAAGAGCTTTCTTCTTGTCTTTCAGATATATATATATATATATATATATATATATATATATTTGCCTTCAGTTAGCCAATTTGTTTCTTTATTTTTCTGGGAGCCTTAGTTGCCAAAAGATTGGTGCTCTTTCTTGAGTAATTTATTTAATCTCCAAATTTGTAAAGAACCAAAGGCGTGTTTGTTATATACAATGGATATGATCTTTAAACGTGTTTTGATCTTATTTCAGCTCTAAGTCTGATTTCACTGTTTATTTAACAACCACTGTGGTTAATTATCTTGTAAGGTGGCATAGCTAGAAGCTCAGAGCTCATTCTCTGGTATCTGTCAGAATCAAGAACACAGTGACTCCAAGCTTGCTCACCAACCAGATGATGACTTTGGCAAACTACACAACACTTCTGAGCTTGTATTATGGAGATGATAATACCAAAGTCAGAGATTTACTTATTAAACAGATGATAGAAGACCAGAAGAAAAGTAAGGCTGGAGCTATATAGTACAACAGGTAGGGCATTTGCCTTGCACACAGGCAACCCAGGTTCAATTCTCAGCATCCCATATTGTCCCCTGAGCACTACCAGGAGTAATTCCTGAGTGCAAAGCCAGGAGTAACCCCTGTGCATCGTTGGGTGTGACCCAAAAAGCAAAAATAAAAAAGAAAGAAAGGGAAAGTGTATAACCAAGAGATAGAGCATATGCCTCACATATGTGAAGCCCTGGGTTCATGCAGGACAATCTGCTTCCTCTGGTAATTCCAGAGCCCTGTTGGGCTTGAACACCACTGAAGTGGCCCCCAAAATTGAGTGGTTGATTTAATTAAAAACATGTTAAATTAATTTAAAAAGAAAAAAAGAAAGAACCGGGGGCTGGAGCGATAGCACAGCAGGTAGGGCGTTTGCCTTGCATGCAGCCAACATGGCCGACACAGGTTCGATTCCCAGCACCGCATATGGTCCCCTGAGCATCGCCAGGAGCAATTTCTGAGTGCATGAGCCAAGAGTAACCCCTGAGCATCACTGAGTGTGACCCAAAAAGAAAAAAAAAAGAACCAATGGCATTGAAGGCCTGGTTGAGAACCACTGAATTGAACAAAGTATGTGAAGGTAAGTATTAATCCAGTGAAGTGCCTGAAGGACCTTGAGAGGAGCAAGGGATGGTGAAGTAGGAGTAAAGTGATAAGATAGAGGTGGGAATGAGCTCTGTGGAGGAGCATTCATTGCCTTGCATGTGTGAGGCCCCAGGCTTAATCACGTACCGCGCACACAGGCTGCTAGTGATAGTACAGTGAGTAGGACACTTGCCCCACCTGAGTTTGATCCCTGGCATCCAGTATGGTCCCCTGAGCACCTCCAGGAGTGATTTCTGAACACATCCAGAGCTAAGCCTTGAGCAC